TATCAGTCGAGCGCTGAAACGGGTACATACGCGCTAATGGGGTTATTTCACCTCCAAGAACCCATAGCTAACACCAGAGACAAGAAAAAATTGAAAAGAATTTTTTTAAAAGGTGCAACGTATAACACACGTAATTCAAGCGAATAAGGAAGGAATAAGTAACAGGGTATCAATCAAGCGCTGAAACGGGAACACACGCGCTAATATGGTCACTTTTACCAGAGATAAGAAAGTAAAGCACGAAAAGGGGGAGACATACTAGAATCGAATAAGTAACGAATAAGGAATAGGTAACGAATTGGTAACGAATAAGGAATAAGTAACGAATATGTAACGAATAAGGAATAAGGAATAAGTAACCAACTTGACGACCCTGTTCTTTTGGTGGAACTAAACACAAGGTCAATGTGGTAGTTACGGTAAATTATGTTGTCTCTTCCAGACCGTTATTCTCCAAAATAGTTGTGAAACAAACATATTTTTTTCTGTATAATAATAAGTACATCTACTAATAATATAAAAATCATATAGATCATGTAATATTCTGTGCTGTTTATTGACATCGCGCAACACGTTGCGGGGGCATAGAAATACTGCGCGTTTGTCCGTCCGTCCGTCCGTCCGTTCGTCCGTCCGCTCGTCCGTCCGTCCGTGCTTCTGTCAGTCCGTGCTTCTGTCCGTCCGGTCTTGTTCGCGCTCTCTCATGTACGATTCTAGCCAGATTGTAATGAAACTTAAATGAAAGGTTTCTATCAGCAATGTCTTAGGCAAATTCGAAAATCAGTGCCGATCAATTATTTTTAAAAGAGTTATGCCACCTTCGAAAAATTAATTATATCGGATATTGCATTGTATTAGCTCCGAAGCCTTCATCTATCTAAGATATTTATCTTTAAAAAAAATTGCAACGCGGGAACATTGGAACTTTATTTTGTTTGTTTTAAAGGACTCACTACAAAACCGTTATTCTAAATACAATGTTTATAGATATAGAAGCGACATTGGAATGCAAAGACTTGTTTCACCTTTTAAGTGTGATTAAAGTCATAACTGTACTTATGTTCTATATTCACTGTGTTCAAACGAACATAAAGTATTTATGTGCTACATCTCTCTAGATTTTTTTGTATAGCATACATATCTGAGCACATTCAGATACTATGTACCTTTATACGATAAAGGCATAATAGAAAACTATATACATATTTGGGTACTGTTAGGCGCAATGACCATCTCAATTTTAATAAGATCCAGAGATCACAATATGTTATCAAACGTATTGTCAAACAGTTCATATTTTGAATACGGAAACCATGCACATCTACGAAAAAAGTCCTTTATAAACATCGCAAAATCTCAATTTGATCAACAATACCGGTAAAAGACAGCAATCAAGCATCTACAAAATATATACAAAACATATTAATTCTTTACATACAACTTCAATACATTAAAAAAAAAACAGAATTCTTAATGAAAATTAGACTTCAATACTAAACAAACGTACGACAATGGTCACTGCCCAAACCTCGATAATTAAATCTCGTGCAAACTTTCTTTATATACTAACCGCCAAAACCGGTTTACAACTATTGTGAAAACACAATAGAATAAATTACATACTTCAAAAATCATACGCGAACCGCACATAAATATATATAAGATTGGGTATGTGTTTATATTTTGAAAGTAAGTAATGAGGATTTAAAATTGTTTTACATGATCAAGGACTATCAGGGGATAAGTTCGCCTACACCCTCCCCCCTAACTGAACATTTAGTTTTAGCATATTTCTTTCTGGTTTTTGATAGTTGCTCTGTTGTTATTTACATTGCCTCCTCCCTTTAAAAGTATCTTATCGACCGATTATGAAAAATCGTTTTATGTGCGTCCCTGACAGAAAGCATGCAATCGTTAAATGAAAATTAATTATTGTTTCGAGAAACGATATAGGATAAATTTAAGGTTGTTTGGATGCTATATTTCACAACCAGCTCAACTATACCCAATACATGTACTCTTTATAGTAACATGCCATATAAATAAACCCTAACTTATGAGGTTTATTGTTCCATCGTTATAAAAGGACCTCTAACTGGAGGAATAAAATTAAACTGTAACAAGGAACTCCATATTTATAGATCACTAGTTGTCTCATGTTGATAAAGAATTAAGTGTTGTGTTTAAAGTATAGCGCTGGAAATATAAATTCTTATCATCGAATATGTAAACCTTACCGCTGGAAATATAAACTCTATCTTCGAATATGTAAACCTTAGCGCTGGAAATGTAACTCTATCATAGAATACAGTGGCGGATCCAGAAATTTTCATAAGACTGCCTAAGAGGGGCATGCTTCAGTGATTCCCTATATACTAGTAATCAACCAAATTTTTCCCACAAATGGGGGGGGGGGGGGGGGGGGGCGGCCCCTTCCCCCCCCCCTAAATCCGCCTCTTGAATATGTAAACCTTAGTTCTGGAAATAAAAACTCTATCATCTAGTATGTAAACCTTAGCACTGAAAATTTACTCTATCATAGAATATGTAAACCTACTACTAACATTGTAGACTTCAATCTTCAGACGCGGATCCATGATTTTTGAAAGGGGGCGTAATTGCAGAAAACGTGCTAAAAATATTGCCGAGCGGAGAGAGACGGAAAATGCTAAATCTGAACATGTAAAGTCAATTGCTATATAGAGATTGATATTTATAGTAGAGCGCTTGAGACAATAAATACATGTACAGTCCAGCGCTTATGATAATAAGTACAACGCGCTAGCAATGATAAGTATAATGGTTGATATGCAAATTTCGGCCTTTCGAATGTAAAATTCAGAAGCCTTTAATTCATTAGTTGTCGTTGATAGCTGTCTTTTTTGTTTTATTTTATCAATCATCAGACTGTTTTTTTTTCTTCTCGTGAGCATTGTATCACAATTCGGGGCCTTTTATAACTGATGAAATGGAGCGGATTTTCGTCATGGTTGAATGCCATACGGAACCCTTAAGTTAATTGCTGATATTTAAGTGGAAAACTTGTCGATTAGTTCCTATCACTATGTATTCTCAATGTCCAAAATATTTAAAACACGTTGTAAAAATTTGTTAATTAACACGATTCATAAATCTCTAATTACAACCTTACATTTGTGAAAAAAGCAACCTATATATATATCAAGTGCATATATGTTATGTATGTTTCGTTTCAGATTTTTTAGTGTTGCCATTATACTTTTAGAAATTATCATAGTCTTTAAAACAATAATAATAATAATAATAATAATAATTCTTTATTTAAAGAGGGTTACACAGTTAGCTATAAAACTAATCTTCCCTGAGGCCTTCAAATATAACTGTTTATATGTTAAGCTAAATATTGCTACTATGGCTATTTGGGAAGTTTATTATTCAATATAAAGGAATGAAAGCTATTTAAAAATATGAAGAATAAAAATGTTACGAAAAAATATCAGTCAGGCACACTTGGACAACCATGACTCAAACTTATCTTGCTTATCAGCTTTAAATTATTCATGGTCACGAAGAAAATTCGCTGATATCAGCATTTTGAGTTTAGGAAGTAGGTGTGGCTTTTATTCTGATTGGCTCTCAACTAGCTATATTTACAAAACTAGAAAAGCTAAAATTTTATTTCAACCTTTTGACTTAAAAAAAATCCAGGATAATGCCGTCGTATGAAGAATGGACAGTTTCCACACAAGTAGTGAATGATAAAACCGAACTTCATTTGATGTTTGACGGAGAATCAGCTAAAGATTATTTTCGATCTGGTGAGTTCTTTTTTTAATAATAATTTTAGTTAAAACTTCTCTCAAATATAAACTACCTTTGCAATTATTGTTATTGCTAGATATAATAGAAACGCTATTTTAACATAATAATTTGTGTGTCGAAAAAGGCGAATCAATTCATTTATTGTATATATGTTCACAAATTTCTCTAGTATAGCACGATTCGATACCAGTTTAATTTATCTCAGTACTTTGGCAAATACGAACATTGTGGTACTCAAATTATGTTATTAAATAACGGATAAAATTTCATGATTAGGAAATTACTATTTTTACGAAATTTTATGAAAAAGACTATTAACCTATCCGTTATTTCATCAAAAAAATCACTGGAAATTTTCCAGTGCTTTCTGTATCATTTGAATTGACTGCCGAAACTTCCGAATGATTGTTGTTTATACTGCAACTGTGCTATTTGCGCATTCAAATTATTATGACGCCAATGCAGCGACTTTTTTCACAAAAAAATCTTAAGAGTAAAAATACTCGTAAGTCATACACATTTCAGTATAACTTACGATCAATTTTAATCGCAAGATTATTTTGTAAAAAGAGTCGCTGAATTCTACGTTGTCCGCTTCAATTAAATAAAAAATGATGGGTTACCCAGAATGTTTCCGTTGGAACAGTCATGAGAGTAACAGTACAAATAAATTAACTATATGTTTTCTCGAAATATATACTAGTCTCTTTCTGTCATAATAATAAAACACTTATGACTACGAGAACATTTCTAGCAAGTTTATTTTCCACCTCGAAAACATGCAACTATTTAATTTTCCCTTCGCTTCGTGTCGAGAATAGTTGGTGCCTCGGGAAATAGTTGGTGTTGATCTCTAAACGTAGTTCATTATTTGTCGTTAACTTGGGTTGATGTTTAATATATATACCAAAGATTTCCTTCATTTTGAGAAGTTCTACGTGGTCATCAATAAATATTCCTGTCGAACATCATTATAATCGAAAATTCAGGCTATTCTCATACGGTTATCACATATTTAGAATTTTAAATTACACGCATTTTTGTAGTCCAAATAATTATGACGTCCGAGACGGCTAAGGCGTCACAGAAAAGATATAAAATAGCCGTACCAGACTTGAGATTATAATCGGAAAAATTACACGTCTTTTCCGAGTAGAGTTTTCAATTAAAATCGCTGAATCATTTCCGTCGACCATTGTCGACCAAACGGTCGCTAAGAGAAATAATCTGACTAAGTTAAACTCACCAATGCAAGTACTTTATTTGCTAGATAAAATGATATGCATAAATTATGTATTTGGACTGGATATCAGAAATCTCATCAATATTCAAATAGTAAAAAAATATGCATCTGCAAGATGATCTTGCCTGTGCCCGCTGGGGTTGGGAATATGATTTCCTGTACCTGTTGCCATTGTTGGAACAGTTAAACTACCAATTTAGACTAATCACCAGGTTTGTACATGCATGGACAACACGGTGATAGGAGCAGGATCTGTTTAGTTACGCTTCTAGAGCACCTGAAATCATCCCTGGTTTTTGCCAAATTTTGGTGGGGTCCTTGTTGCTCAGTCTTTATATTTTAATGTTTTTGTATGCTGTCTTTTTTGTTTTTTTATGCAATGGCATTGTCAGTTTCAATGACAGTTTTTTATTGACTTTGAGTAAGAATGTTACTTGTGCATCTTTTGTCTCTCATATTTTGACACAAATCTTAAACTGTTAAACAGGTTGGGAACAAACCCTCTATATGGTGTTTATACCTGTATAGAGGGATTATCCTTCTATAGAGGGATAAAATTATTTCTCTATAGAGGGATATTTTTGTTTAGACTGGATTTAAAGCAGGAAAATTGCAAAATGGCAAGCCCCTCGCTCTAAATTTCATAGTATATACATGTACCTTTTCATAGACTAACCTAGACATAGAAATCTGTTCATTGAGGCATAACTGAGTGGAATTTACCTGAGCATCACAGCTTTCAATTATGATGAACAATAGATTGTATATTCAGTCAGTTTAGCAGTGAACTGGGCATGTGCATATTAAATTAAGTACATCAACTGTTATCAAATGATGCAAGTAGAAAATGTCATTTTGCCCTATTTTGCTTTAAATCCAGTCAAAAAAAAATATCCCTCTATAGAAGGATAACCCCTCTATACAGGTATAAACACCATAAAGAGGGTTTGTTCTCAACCTGTTAAATACAAGACAGAATTAGATAATGAAATATGGTCATCAATGCAATAAACATTCCCATGCAGTGTACTGTTCATTATCGAAAATGAATACTTTATATCATATGATATGAACATTATGTATGGCTTTGAATAATTAATATCAATAAACAATATTGTAAGATACTACTTGATGAGCTCCCTGATGTTATTGATGTAAGTTTATTTTACAATAAATTGTCATCCAAAGAAGTCATTTTAGTGTAAATCATGAAAATAATTAGTAAGTCTATTTTGATTTTTTGCTGTGACATCCCTATACATATTTCGAAGGAAGGGGTCTCAGCAAAAAATTGAAATAACCCTTCAAGACGCAATAATTATTTCATCTATATGTATACAACGGGCATGCACCTTTTTGTAATTGGATATTAATTTTATGCTGCTTTTGGTGTATTAAAATTTACTTTAGATTCAAATCATATGATTCTTCATTATCAGTCAGGGGTACTACTTAAACAAGTGATTTCAGAATCACTTCTTCAAGTGATTTTGGCTGTGAGATATTAAAAATTTTAACAAAAATAGACACTTTTAAAATCACTGAAACAAGTAATTTGAGAAGTTAAAATGTAATCACTTCAATAAGTGTTTATAACATTTTCTTGATATTTTTCCCACAAGGTTGATTTTTTTATTGGTAAAAAGACAAGAATTCCATTGAAAAAACAACTATGTACATGCAAAAATTGTCTTTTGCTTGATAAGCTTGTCAGTTTTTACAGTTTATTTAAAATATGCAAAAACTGGAATAATTTGTAGATCAGGACATAACCTTGAAGTAGATCATTCTACATTTTGTAACTCTAAAGAAAACCAATCAGGTTACCTAATATTGTTGACCTTTTCTGATAGCAAGAGCAGTTAATGAATATTTGATTATAGAAAAATTCCCAAGGGTACTTTTAAAAGCTTTAGCACACTTACTTACTGCCCAAGCACACTGGTGAAATTAATATACAAAGAGAAAGGGATAATTGATATATATGTAGGAAAATTATAGAGAAGTTTGTCAAAATATGGAAAATCAATGAAATTAGCATTTGAAGATCAAAGGAAACACCAAAATCACTTAAATAGGTGATTACTGAATTTATCAAATCACTGAAATAGGTGATAATGAAATCATTTGTTTAAGTAGTACCCCAGACTGATTATAATTAATGAAAAATCCTGTCAAAAATCAAAATGTGGAAAGGAGCTTCTCAGTTGTTATACAAGTTTTTTTATGATAGTGCTAACCAACTGTAGACCAAAATTTACCTTTCTAGCAATATAAATTTGGTTTAAATCTAAGATTACCATGTTTAATAGTAATCTGAGAATCTGCTTTTAAATCTTATTTTGCTTAAATTTTAAAACCACCTTCAATAGTTAATGTGATTCTATAGCTAGGTCTGAATAAAATTTTAAAAAAAATCACTGCCTTTTTCTCTGGAGTCCGTTTAAAAGCTGTTTATTAATATTAGAAAATGAATAATTTGTATTTAGTAAAAATCTTTGATAGCAGAAAATGTTGAATACATATAATTATATATCAAACATGTCAAAATGGCCATGATGGCATTGTATTTATGCAAGGTACAAATGTAAGGTCATGAAAAATAGATTGTGGCCAGTCCCCCCTTATACATGAAAACCCTGCCAGGTGGGGGTCAATTTAATTTATTCATAGATGAAAAAAGAGCAAGACTCTCTTCTTATCAATGTTGCTTTAATTTGATTGCCTGATGTCTTATTAAAAGTTTTATTTGTCATTTTTTAAAGACTAAAATATAGCTTATATCACAATATAGATCAAGATATAATGTCAAAACAAGTTTTTTTCCATGAACTTTCTGTCAGTGGTTAAGAAAAATCTATATAGAAATGCATACGCCTTGTTTGATTTAAAAAAAAATGAAAGTTTTTCCTGTCTGTCGTATCCTTTTATATTTTCTTGTGTTATAGAAAACCAACATCCAATTTTCAATGGCCTAACTGATTTTTATTTGAACAATAGAATATGTTTAAGCTATTTTTTTTTATATAATAAGAAATCATATTTAGAATTTGTTTATTTTGAGTTTTATGGTTGTAAATAAAATTAGGTTAAAGCAGTAACATGATAAGGTTTCTTTTAATTACAACAAAAGAAAAATTGTTGACTTTGTATTCATGTCCTGGTGAAGACTGGTTGTTTCAATAATGAATTTCAATATAAGCTTTTTTGTAGGAAAGATAAGAAAAGAGATAAATCCAGAACAGCACAGTGTCCTACCAACATCTTCATCAATAACGTCAATCTTACCTGTAAAAGAAGATGACTCTCGTATAATGGTAAAATTTTAGTACTTTGTGTATTACCAATAAAGAGACACCTTCAAAACCTCAGTCAGAGTTGTCCTGCAATTTTTCCAAGATAATTATTTGATAAATACTAGATTTTAAGCCTTATTTGTACAAGAGAGGCGGAAGAGACTATTTTGAAGGATAGTCAAACTCATAAGTTGAAAACAATCTGACAATGATATGGGAAAAAAGAAATCAACAAATGAACAAGAGTCTTCAAAATACAATATATAGTAAACTAAAATAACATATTAGTTATTTATTAGAAGATAAAGGTATATATGCAAATAAAACTGCAGTCTAAATCATAAATCTCAAAAGACATTCAAAGGTCAGCATATCATCATGTGATAATCTTCAATAATTGAAACTGTCTAATCATTATGCCTAGATCTTAATTGTTCAAGTAATTAAAAGTGAATACATTGAACAAAGGCAATATATATATCAAAAAAGATGTCATCATCATTCTTATAGAGGTTACAAAAATGGTTTTACAACAGAAGGATTCAGATCCTTTGAATATATGATACATGTATTAAAGGGGCACTAGCTATGAGATATATATAAAAAATCTAAAGTATGATTTTTTTGTTCAATCATTAGTGAAAGCGAAATAGTGAAATAATAATTCGCCTTTAGTAGACAGTTTGGTTCAATTTTGTCAAATTAAGCTAAGAAACATTGATGATGAATTATTCACTTGCAAGTGAATTGTGCGTGTTCGGTTATTTAAAGGAAAACAATGTTAACATTGAAAGTGAAACAAAGGTAAGTCATTTGACTGATTCGATCCACTAAAAATTATTTTTATACCGGTAAAAACGATGATTAACATATATTTTTAATCTATAATATGAAATTAAACAGACCTAGAAAAATCCAATTGCACGAGTTCCTTTTCTATTTATATCTATATTTATGTTTATATATCGCTTATATGACCATCGGAGGTCAACTCGATAGTTAATTAGATGGCGTCAAGACTAAAATACACACGAAACGAAGCTACATATAATCGAGCCCATGCCCTGTAAATTGTTTATTTTAGACTTTTTATAATTTGGATAAATGTTTTACATGGTTATAAATCAAATAAGAAAATTTCAGTCAAATCAGTGAACATGAATTTGACAGCTAGTGCCCCTTTAATTATGTTAACCACATATTAAGCAAAATTAAGTAAATCTGCAAAATTTACCTTGTAATTGTGAATTATTTTATTTGACATTGAATCTTTTATTGAATGATTTCCAGGTTTCATTAGGTCAAACTAGCATTAGGTTACTTGTGAACAGATTCAAGAAAACCTTCCTGTATAATAAAGCAATTGAAAATGTCATTCAGCTGTATGAATTTTGGGAGATAGTTGGCGGCTTCTTGGCCTGGTAAATTAATTTAAAGCTTACACACATGACTTCCCATTGCAAAGAAAATAGAGTCCTTAAGATATTTGAGATATTCAATATACTTATCTAATTATATGCAAATTATAACATTTAAAACACTTGAATACAGCTAAAGATTTCATTATTTTTGCAATGAAATTTGATAGCAGACTCAGTAGTCCGCAGAATTTTTCACACTTGAACATTTATTTAGATTTAAACCAGTTGGATTACAAATTTTGAAATTGGTACAATTAAAAAACCAGAAAAAATAGATATTTAGAAGTCAACATAACGGTATTCAACAATGAATAAGTTTCCAACATATATGCTGTAAAACATCCAAGCATAGAAAAGTGTAATGATGTCATTGTTCTCCCATGAATTTTCATATTACATAATTGTATATACATGTATATCTTTAAATTATGACACAACATTTATTATGTTTATATCAACATTCTATTAAAAACTTATTCAGATAGTACCTTGGTAAAAATCATAAGGTCCTACGGGTAGAGAGCACTAGTGTTATGTGTCTGATGATAAAATATTTTACAACATTGCACATAAGTTTAACAATGATTGTGTTGTGTCACATTCTAAAACCTCAAATACATTATAGACACATTGAACATACATGTATGTAAAAAGATAACACCATGTGTTGATTAACAATTAAAGCACAAAACAATTTAAACACTTCCATTTGGCTACCGTACTATAATTTCAGTATTTAGACAACAATCAGATGTTCAAGATATACCATGTTGTAGAAAAAAGTGGAAAGGAATCATGCAAGTTTAAGTCATCCTATCACAATTTTGTATTAACACATTTTAAAATGACATACTTTTTAGTGTTCACATGGTACAGTTAAATTATAAGGAATCAGCTGAAATAACTACATTTCGTTATTCACCATGTTTTTATAAACATGAAAATTACTATATATTATACTACTTATTGTAGGGTCGCACCTAAAAGTAGTTCTGATTCGGATGCTGAAGAGGAAGGTTGTTCTATTGAATTTTTTGAAAGTAGTTTAAATGAAGAAAATGGAATTACTGAAAATCAAAGAACTTCTATAGATCTTTTTGAAAGTGGTAGCCTTGATGCACTGGAAACGCCTGATACAAAAAGTGGAGATGACACCTTAGGAAACATAGCTGCAAGGGAAGAAGAAACTTCTGGAACCTCCTATAATTCTGATCAAAACCCTGATTATCCTGTTTCCAGTGATGGAGAGATGGGGGATAAGCAAGATACTGTCAGTAGGGATGAGTTAATTACCTCGCTCAGCAGCAAAATGGTAGCCTTCAAGGTTTTAGATGTATTCTCATTACATCCACCACCTCCTTCATACAGAGTAAGAGAAGTTGATCCAAATTTTGTTAAAGCTCTGATGGCAAAAATGATAGAAAAGAATTCTGTTGCCGTTGAAAACGCCCCTAATATTGTAGGCTTTGTAGATGTTGATTTACAAAATTTTAGAATTGAAAAACTATCAACATATAGAATCCATGTCATTGATGGCAACCATAGCTTAAAGGCTCAAAAGGCAGCTTATAGAAAGACAAAAGATCCAACATTTAGATTTAGAGGCGTAAATATATATTGTGACCTGAATGAAGATGAGGCATTGTTTCTTGGTGTAAGCCGAAATGAGGACACCAGCTCATTTGTAAAATTTAGTGATTATCAGAAGGTTGATCTGATCAGAAGAAAACTGTATTCCATGACAAGGACTAGTCAAAAAGAGGAGCCTCCTAAAACACCAAAAGGTTTTAAAAACATGTTTGCCTGTATGCTGAACTTGAAAGAGGTAAAATAACTAAAGATTGATATTAATCAAAGTTGTTTGTTTGTTAACATGAATAAATAATATATATGTGGGGTTTACATACATTTTAATGAAATTAATATGATAAAGCACACACACACACATACACACACAAAGCAAACAATTAAAGATGTCTGGAGAAGGACAATGTTATGCAACAGCTAAATCTACCATCTAAAAAGAAACTTTTAAGACAAATAAAAAGTGGCACACAAATTGATAAACATGTTTCAAGATATTTGCTGAAAAAATAGAGGTTGAACAATAGAAATGACACCATACTGCTCATCAAGTTAATTGTATTAATTACGACTGAGATATGTATTCAATGATTTATATATGTTTTGGTTTTTTTTTGTAGAAAAATGCAGTTGATGGAAAAAATATCATCAAGTTTCTTGCATGTCTTCCAAACAATTCCTATATCTTATATAAAGACATCTGTTCAAGAAAGCCAACGCTTCCAGCATCAAAATTTACATGTTTAAGAGGATTGACAGACAGTGATGCATATGTCTGTTTACATAATTTGTCATTAACAGAATTAGAGAAAAAAGACTGGCAATATTTTGCAAGTAGTTGTTTACAAAGACAGAAGAAAGTAAGAAAGGTATGTAGTTTTACATATTTTTAAAAGAATTTCTGAAACAAAACAAAAAAACAGCTTAAAGGGGCTGTTCAAAATATATACAATATTGACAGTAATACTAGAAAAAAAAGATGTATACTTACATTATAAAGATTCAACCTAAATTGTAATATCATGTTTCAATACTAGGAATATTCAGAAAATCAGTAGGACTGCATTTCAAATGAGAACAAAAGGTTGTGGTAGAATGTTTTACATCTCTTGAAAACAAATTGGTAAAAATGACAGACAATATAAACATCTATGCCCCAAATACTTTATTTTATACTTGACATTTTTTACATACAATTACTGACAAAATAACTGTTATCTGTGAATATTGTGTTTTTATTTCAGCATAGAAAAGACGTAACAGCCAGAATAGAATTTTCTGACACATCAACCAAAATTTATGTTAACCAGAAACCAATGCCAGGAAGCTGTCTTTGTTTTAAATTTACATGGGACCAAAAAGAAGTAACATTGACAAGTGAACAGTTACAAGATAAATTGTTTGGTATATATTTTTTAAATATTTATAATATAGTATTGTTAGAAAGAAAGACAATAATATTTGGTAAAAAAATAAATGGTTTATTTACTTCTAAGGATTTTATTTTGATTTCTATAATTTTTTAAATGTATAAGTGTAGGTCATTTATTATTTTAGTTTTATTGTTTTCATCTAGAAGAAAATTGTCATGTTTCAAATTTAATAAGGATTTGAAATATACATGTGTAAATTTCAATAATATTAATTAATACAGATTATTTTGTTTAATTTGAAGGTCTATCAAATAAAAAAAAAATAGAATCTGCAACATATGAGAGAATTCCAGTCAGATTTCAAACATGTAAGTCAACACTTACCTCTGAGTTGCAGTCTTAAGATTAATTTAATAGGAAAATAGCCCAAACTTTATATCTGTTATGTATTGTTTTTAAAACTGATCGCTTTGAATTGAGCCTAGTGCTGTTGAAAAATTTGTTTGTTAAAATCAACATTGCTCTTGTAAGACTATATGATTCCATGATTTTAAAGCCTTGCAATGTTTAGAAAAAGAAGTTCTAAAAATTATGCAGATCTGTTCAGATGTAAGAACATAAATTAACACTTCTTTAAGTTTTGTGTTAATAATACTATACATGTTTGTAATTGTTGGAAACTGTAGAAAACTCTGTTCGAAAAATTCTATACACATGCTTGCTGACATATTCTCTGAATAGCACAAGGAAACCAATTTTTTGGTCAGGAGGCGATTTTTTTGTCTTCTGTAAAACTAGTTGGAACATTGATAAGCTTTATGAATTATATTGTTACCAGGGAAACTTACAATACACAATTGTTTAAAGGTATGCTGAAGTATAATTACACCCATGCACATTCTTTTATGCTTTATTATCCATGTTTTTTCTTGTGTATATGTATTTCCTAATGTTTCATTTTTTTGAATGAATACTAATTAATCAGTTCTGCTCTGTTCAATTAAAGTCTAAAGTTAATTGAAAAAAATGTTTAAGTCTAAAGTTAATTGAAAAAAAAAAGTTTTAAGTCTAAAGTTAATCGAAAAAAATTAGTTTTTTGAATTAAGTTTGATTTGTAATTTTAGGTAGTCAAAAGAATATAGATTTCATTAAGAAGACTAATGAAATAGAAGAAAGACCACTCAAAGGTACGTGGTTTATATTGAACAGGTCTAAAACATCTTGTATGTGAAGTTATAATGAGCCAAATTAAAAGATTGATGTTTTGTGTGAATGAAAATTTCAAAATGCCATAAAATAAAAGTTAAGTTTGGTTATTTAAACAAACACATATAAACGAATCATTTTATTCTATTTTCTTTAAATTCTTTGGAAAAGTCTTTTGACTTCACCCATTTCCTGGTCATTGATCTGAGTATATACAATTTTTAGTATCAGAATGCTATCATGGTTTAAGTATGTAAAAGATATTATTAAGGATGCAAGATTTATGGCAGACATTGTGATATTTTGCATGTTTTATTTTACTTTTATTATTTTAGGTATATCAAATATATTTAGTCTTGATGATATTTACTCAAATAGTGAACAAGTGGAGCTTTCTGATGAAGATGAAGATGATGAAACTGGTATGCAAATAAACCACTAACACATTATGACATCTTACTCTTACAAAGACAATTGTAGATTAATAGACTATAGTCATATACATATTAATTTAATAGTTTTGTGCTGTTTAGAATGTACACTGCTGAAAAATAAAAATAAAAAAACTACATAGATGATGCCTTCTTTGGTTGGATAAAATGTCTCTTGATTATTCATATAACTTTTTATTTTAATTTTTCTAATACATAAAACTTAATGGCTGATTTCTTAATACAAAAGAAGAAATATTTTTGTTTGTTTGGGTCATATGGATTAGAGATAAGATTTTTACAGCAATACAAATAAACAGATTTTTAAAAAATTAGGTCATAAAAACATCTTTTGTGTTTTGTCAAATTTTCTATTTATAGCTAGACTGTCACTGTTAGAACCCCATTTTGGTGGGGTTCGTGTTGCTTAGTCTTTAGTTTTCTATGTTGTGTCTTGTGTACTATTATTTCTCTAATTCTTCGTCAATTTATCCCTTTCTGCACCCATTGTATAAAAAAAAAATTAATCAACGTGTGGTTCGTTTGATCTCAGTTCTTCATTGGTTAAAATCCGATTATGACGTCGAATTCTCTTGCTTTCCTCTGAATTTCCTATTGTGACGGCATGAAAAAAGGCGACCATGCCTGATGACGTCACATAGAAAGAACACATCTTTTTGCAGATCATTCGAAAAGAAGGAATAAATTTGCCTGCGTATTGTTTGAAAATCATTAGAGAAACAGATTCCACCACCAAATCTCGTGTAATACGATATTTATCCACTCTCGGCAGTTAAATTTTAAATATTTAAAACGCTCAGCGAGCCTCGCGTTTTAAATTTGAAAATTTAACTGTCTCGAGTGGATAAATATCGTATCACACTCGATGCAGTGGTAGAATCTATATTTGTCTGTTTGTCTTTTTATTTTTTAGCCATGGCGTTGTCAGTTTATTTTCAATGTATGAGTTTGACTGTCCCTCTGGTATTTTTCGCCCCTCTTTTAGACCTTTGTGACATCTTCAAATCTTTTGCTAGATGACAATTACTAAAATTAGGTAACTCAGTATCCTCTCCTCAGTAACTTAAACATATGTTATACAATCAAAATAATCTTATAGTATATCTAGACAATGTGTGATATAAGATTCACATGCTAATATTAACATTAAATTATGTATTACAATTTCTTTACCTCAAGAATATGAATGAACAGGAAACTTTTAATGCCTAAACACTTGGGTCATATTGTTACAGGTGTCTGTCAATTCCTAATTATAAATTCTCAACATTTGTCAAAATTTTTCCTTGTCTGTAGATATCCAGGTGATTTTTGATCAATTAGTAAACTGATGACTTTTAGATCAATTCTTTGCATTGCATAAAAGCTTTACTCATGTTTTTTTTATTTTGTTTATTTAGTGATACCAGATAGTCCAAATGAAACAGGAGCTTCCTCAAATGGATACTCAATAACAAGATTTACCTCAAGGTCTAGTCAGAAGAAGCAAGGTAATATACCATTTATAATCACCAAAAACTTTGCATGTGATGTTATGATATATCAAACAGGGCTGTTGTTTTTAATATATGAGAAAAAAATAATTGTAGTACAAAATCAAAATTATACTGTGTACACTGTCCAATGTTCATTTATACATCAAGAAATTAACACAACAGTACAAGAAAAAAACAGAAATTTTAAGGGTAAAAGGTAATACTATTTTATATTTTTGTCATAGATGAAAAGAACAATAATGTTTCAAATGACATAATAATAAAGAACAGGGAGGCCATACATGTGTATATGCTTGATATTTAATATTCAAATACTTCTTTCATTATGATAAAAGAATATACACAAATTTGATCATCTTATAAAAATGGGGAGATGTGGTATGATTGCCATTGAGACATCTATCCACCAAAGTTCAAATGAAGCCCATGTAAGCAATTATGGACAACCATGCCTTCAACAATGAGAAAAATCTTTTCCATAAAGCCGACTATAAAAGACCCCAGCATGAAAAATATGAAACAATTCAATTGAGAAAACTAATGCCCTTATTTATGACAAAATAATTTACAAAAAACAAATATGACAGACATGAACCAATGATAACCACTGAACTACAGGCTCCTGACTTGGGACATGCACATAAAGGATGGCACCAGTTTTTTACAGAATTGTGAATTTAGTTATATATATGAATATATGATTGCGTCGATCTGTACAAATTCAGTGTCTGAAGTTAGCTTTTTTTTGTGGTATAATCCTACTTTTTTTTTAAGTTATTGAAATTGTCAATCCTTATTTCAGTTAAAGCTAGTCCACTGATGAGTAGTACCCTGGTAGATACTTTAGCTAGTGATCAAGAATCAGGCAAGTAACAATTACATTTGTAGATGTCAGGAAAAGTCTATGATAGTTGGTACTAACTTTTGCAAGCAAAACTTACTATGTCAAATTATTGTTCTCAAGAATCCTCTTAGTTCAATAGGTCTACATTGAAAAATTATTTCATCAGATTTTGTCCTTGACTTATGGTGTCTTCCTCCATCTTGGATTTTGAAGTAGCAGATAACAGTTGGTCTTGATCTTTAATGAAATGTGCAAATTTTGAGAGTAGTATGTAATTCATGTGTAAGACTTTTGATGTAAATCATGTGTTATATCATATTTACGGCTGTAATTTCTAAACACCATATTTGTTTGATTATTTTTTTTTTCAATTTTGCCAAATAAGGGGAGATAACTCAGATAAAGTAATTTTATAATAGAAAGTGTTGTGAATTTACCTATTTTAACATGTAGCAAGAAAACAAGTTCGGTGACCCCATTTTTTTTTTCTTATCTGAAAGCATGTTATAAGAGCTATCTTCTCACATCTTATCCTAACATTCTATCATGTAGTTTTCTTTTCATCACACCAAATTGGATTTTCCATGCATAATCTATACAAAATCTGACAATTTTGCACAACCTGTAGCTTGAAAAAAAGTTGAACAAATTTTGATATTACAGTGGCTGGGGCGTCTTAATTAAAATCCATAAATTTTTTTAATAATTTGTCAAAATGGAGTTTTTATCATGTTTTTTTCAAAAATATAATAAAAAGTATGGGTCACCGGACTTGTCCCATACTTTTTATTATATTTTTGAAAAAAACATGATAAAAACTTCATTTTGACAAATTATTAAAAAAATTTATGGATTTCAATTAAAACTCCCCAGCCACTAATATTAAAATTTGTTCAATTTATAATTAATACAAACAAATTTTCAGAAAACCTAAATGAATACAATGATGGAGCATCATCTTCAAACATAGATATTTTAAACAAGGACTCAACAATTGATGGTTTGACAAGCTACACAGATTTAAACCTGGAAGAAAAGAGGACATCTAAAACTTCAGATGGTATAGTACTGTTTATAAGTTATTTAATGACTGACTACTTTTCTTTAGTTTTTGGTATTAAAGGTTAAACAACCACAATCATTACTATTGAACAAATAAGGTATTCCATAACAGAGTTAATTATTTGGACACTGAAAATGTTTCATTCTTGATAATTATTCAGAAAAGGATATACATATTTAACATTAACTTTTGAAATGTTATACATGGATATATGATAATTTTATTTATTGTCTTTCAGAGTTTATAAAAATTATAGTGGATGAAGCTGCTAACATGAAAGCTAAGTTATATGGGAAACAAATTGAAGAAGACGAAGTAGAGACACGTCCAGACATGTTGTATAATCATATGGAAGTACTTTTAGATCCTGTCATTCAGGAAATGTCCAAAAAGTACTTTACTGATGATGCATGGATGGTTGTCACAAATGTCCTTAATATTTTACAAGGTAAAAATAATTGTGTGATGCTGCATTCATTATTTTGTTGGCATGATTATAAATTGGATTTTTTATGCCCCACCTAGGGGCATTATGTTTTTCGGTCTGTGAGTCCGTTCGTCCATCTGTTAATCCATTCGTCCCTCTGTCCCGCTTCAGGTTAAAGGTTTTTGGTCCAGGAATTTTTTGATGAAGTTGAAGTCCAATCAACTTGAAACTTAGTACACATGTCTTCTATGATATGATCTTTCTAATTTTAATGCCAAATTAGTTTTGACCTCAATTTCAGGGTCTGCTGAACATAGAAAATGATAGTGCCTGCTTCAGGTTAAAGTTTTTGGTCAAGGAAGTTTTTGATGAAGTTGAAGTCCAATCAACTTGAAACTTAATACACATGTTCCCTATGATATGATCTTTCTAATATTAATGCCAAATTAGAGTTTTGACCCCCAATTTCATGGTCCACTGAACATAGAAAATGATAGTGCAAGTGGGGCATATGTGTACAATGGACACATTCTTGTTTTAATATGTATGAGTGTTTAAAGATATCTTATCCTGGGGTAATACAGTACAATCTAGATTAGAAATTTGTTTTAGTCTTTATGTCTCTCCTGTTACAGTCAGACAGGGATATATTTATATCACAGTTAACCTTTTTAAAGAAAATTGTAATTTGATGACTTATCAATGCAGTTATAGTCATGTAACATGTAATAACATAATGGGAGATGATACTAAGCGGGAATCAAAAACAATAATTTGGAAAAACACAGACAACACTATCAAGACTATGTATGGCCCCAAAAAATAAGATGTTAAATATTTATAAAAAAAACTTAAAGAACCTTTAGATATAGCAACAGGAACCACTAAAACAGGAAGACAAAATCAGGTGCTCTGGAAGTCACAGTAGTTAATTAAGTTGCATGCATGTCAATATTTTAGTTTACTAGGACACTTTTTGTCGAGCCTGCGACTTTTGTCGCAAAAGCGAGACATAGCGATCCTACATTCTGTCGGCGGTTAAAGTTTTTCAAATTTTAATAACTTTCTTAAACTATCCTAGATTTGTACCAAACTTGGACAGAAGCTTGTTTATAATCATAAGATAGTATCCAGAAGAAAATTTTGTTAAAAAAATAAATCCTGTTTTTCTGTATTTTACTCATATATGGACTTAGTTTTTCTGCCAGTTAACATAACATTCACTCTGTGGTAAAAGTTTTTCAAATTTTAATAACTTTCTTAAACTATCCTGGATTTGTACCACACTTGGACAGAAGCTTGTTTATGATCAAAAGCTAGTATCTAGAAGGAAATTTTGTAAAAATTTATTTCCTGTTTTTCCATATATTACTTATAAATGGACTTAGTTTTATTCCAGTTAACATTACATACAGTCTGCAGTTAAAGTTTTTAAAACATTTATTAGATTCATAAACCTTCTTGGATTTTTACCAAACTTGAACAGAACTTCTTACAATCAAAAGATAGTATCTAGAGGAAAATTTTTAATAATTTTTTCCCCATTTTTGTTGAGCCTGCGACTAACAGCAGCAAAAGTAGGCGAGACACTGGGTTCTGCGGAACCCTTACAAATTTTATAGTTTCAAAACAGTTTTCCCATTATGTAGGAAAAGTATTTGTTGTTGTTATTAGGCTTGTTCTTAAGATGCCATTGCTTTTAAAGACATATGTAGTAAATCAGTTGTCTACTTGCTTTAAGTAAATGCAAACAAATGAAACTTTCTTTTTGACCCCTTCAAAGTTGTATATGATAACAACAATAATTTGCGTTTACAAGATTGATATCTATATTACGTATAACTTTTTGACCAATTTTAATCTTTTCTTTCAGCATATAAATGCAAACAAATTGAGAGGAATAAGGAAATGGACAAAGTCTTAGGAAGCAATAAGGGGAAAGCTTTATGTGGAACAAAAGGTAAATAGAGATCAAATACAAAATGTCTTTCTAGCATTATGATAATAACAAGTGGTATGTCTGTTATAGTGACAATGACCAACAGAAGACCAAGTTTATAATAAATGATTTATGAATCTCAAGTTAATCATTCATTCATTTATATGTTAATAGACAAATTTTACCAATCCTTTCCCAAATGTTTGCAGAAATTCACCAAATGGATTTTATTTTTTATCTTTAAATCTGTTTAAATATGCCTGATTTTAGAGAAGTTAATTAATTGGAATATCTTTTATATTGAGACTATTTAACTATTATCTAACATTTAAAAAACAATCAAAAATGTAGCTGGTATGATTTGAAAATAAGGAAATATCCAAGTCAGTGAAACAGCAACCAAACAATGCAATAAACTTAAACAAAGACACATATAGAAGTCCATAAACAATCTTCAATTGAAAAATATCAACACTTAATGTCAATTGCTTCAAGTATAAAAGACAATTTGTGAATAATTTAACAGTAACAACAATTTAAGTAATCAAGGACAATTACAATGGAATGGGACTTGCACAAATGTACATTAAGACTGAAGAAATAACACAAGTTTAAGCAAAAAAAGATGCTAATAACATTTGGTATATAACTCTGACATGTCTATCTTAGTTGGATCCTTATAAATACAGATAATTTGGATTTAAATACATAAGGGGAAAATGTCATAAAAAGAAAACCTAAGAGATCACATGAAGCTATTTAAAGAATATATGGCTTTTTCAATATCACATCTGTATCAACCCAAGACACCAATATATAGAGCTCTTGGAATTATATTGGTGTCTCAAGTTGATATGGTGTGTGATATAGAAAAAAAACATATCATATACACTATTATATACACTTGAACCTCAAGTAGATGTTTTTTCCAGGTGACATGACATTATACAAATTAGGTGTTTGATTAAACAATGACTGATATTGATGATGCGATGTCATACAGATAAGGGGTTTGATAAATCCTTTGCAACTGTGACTGATATTTGTATCAAAATGGATGGTTTATGCAGCATAATTGCTATTGATCGATTGCTATTGATCGTATCACACATACAATTTATCTATATTTACTACTTAATATATAATAAATAACCTTTGTTTTATAGGAACAAACTGTTTTAAAAACAGAAAAGATGTGGGAAGAGATGCAAAATCATCAAGTATGTTTCCATTTTAATTATTCTACACTATTTCAGTTGAAGATATATTGCAGTCACTCTATAATCCCTGCTTTGTCACTAATTATTATGGGAAAAAGCACTAGTTTTAATGGAGTTAAAGATCAATCTATATCAAATATTTGGTAGGATATTTACATATCAAATATATAAAAATATTTCCTCTGAATAACAACAAGCAAGATATTGGTGTTGTGAACAAATATCATACTTTTGTAAATGTGGTGTCTCTATGCAACTAGGAACTTTGAAATGTATACTGGCACTACGATTACATTAATGCATCTTACTTGTTTTTCTATATTTCAGGTAAGTCAGAAGATATATCTAAGAAGAATGTTGAATTTACAAAGACTGGCAACACAAGTAAAAGGAAAAAATCCTTAAAAAGTAAGTTTCACAACTGATGAAGTATTCCTATCTCTGATAAAACAACATATTTCTGAAACAAAATTGAAATAAAGTTGACGTTGTTTGACCGTTTATAACATTATGGAGAAATGGTTATTGTAAGAAATCACATCAAATTTATTTTCAATTTCATTTTTATTTTTATTTATAGTTAACAAGCAAAAAATCATGAAAAACATTTTATGATGTCTGTTATGAATTTGTGATTTTAAAATGTATTATTTTGAATGAAAAAAGTAGTTTTTGTTATTATTTAATTAAAGGGGCATTGGCTGTCAAATTCATGTTCACCAATTTGACTCAAATTCTCATATTTGATTTATAACATACTGAAACGTATATCCAAATTATAAAAAGTCTTAAATAAACAATTTACAAATCATGGACTGGATAATATTTTGTGTGTATTTGACTAAATGCCATCTATTTAACTATCGAGGTTGACCTTCCAAGACTGCTGATGGTCATATAGCGATATAAACATAAATATAGATATAAATAGACAGCAAACTGTGCAATTGGATTTTTCTAGGTCTGTTTAATTTCATATTATATGTTAAAAATATATGTTAATCATCATTTTTACCTGTATTAGAATAGGTTTTTGTGGAATCAGTCAATCAAATGATTTACCTTTGTTTCACTTTCAATTTTGATAACTGGACACGCATAATTCATGCGTAATCCATCTCTAGCTAAGGGGTTAAATTGAAGGTTACATGAATACGTATTCAATGAGCAAGTGAATAATTCATCATCGATGTTTCTTAGCTTATTTTGACAATTGAACATCCTGGCAGCTAAAAGCGAATCATAATTTCACTATTTCACTTTCACTAATGATTGAACAAAAAAAATCTTGTTTTATATTTTTTATACATCTCATAGCTAGTGCCCCTTTAAGGTATTATTAATTTATGGAGAATATTTAATACATATATCTAACATATAAATACATTTCAACTAAAAAAATACTTTACTAAGTAGATTGTAGATTTAAATAATTTTTCCTTTATACTTGTAGGAAAGCGTGATGTATATTCATTTTCAAGTAATGATTCACCTGTAAAAGCCTTTGGTATGTATTATTAGGAATTGAATGCAACAAGAAAAAATCTAAAAACAGGTTAATGGTGTAACTAAATGATTCTGACCTGAAATAATGTTTAGCAGTCAGAGCTCTGACATAAACAAGTCAGAATAAAATGACTTCTTAAAGTCAGAAAGTGTTTTGAAATTCTGACCTGTACGCGTCAATTTTTGTTTTGCGTAGTTTTCACTCGAGTCCGTCAAACCAGAAGTTATTTTGAATTTGCCGCCGATCTACGACACATACGATCACGTGGTTTTTTGCAAGAGATCACGTGTTTGAGAGTCGTTGTTTTGGAAGTGTCTCGAACGAGAAGTCATTGAATATTATATTGATTATTTACGATTTTTAGTGAAAATCTAGGTCATTGTGGGCATTTTTAGAAAGGTAATTCATATTACCTCCGTATTTTCATGGGCATTTTTATATTTTTTGCCTATAAAGAAGTTCCTTGCAAGTGATTTTTTTGCTGTTTCATGAAGGCGCGCGACCTGTAAATACGGACGCGTGGTCTTTGAGATGACCTGGTGTTTGACAATTCTGACTTGTTCAAGTCAGAAAATGTTGTTATGATAATGAATTGTTATTTTCGGGAGATAACTCGTGTTGTCTTAAACAATATTAACATTATTAACCAGTCAGTGCAATTTAAAAAGTAAAATTATTGCTTCGAGCTGAACATCGTCACGTGATTTTTCTATTTTTAAACTCAATCACGAATTGATTTTAACCTTTCCGATTCGTTTCTCCCTATGAGAAAAACGATCATTGTGAATATTGATATGATGATAATGAAACGAAAATGGAAAAAAATTTAATAAAAGAAAAAGGAAGGGAGGGGTTTAACTAAAGAATTTTTTTTTTATTTTTAAAGTTATAACTTAAAAACAATAAGTGATGCACACACCTGGTCTTCATTTATGATCATGGGACATGATAAAACAAATCAAATGAAATGTAGGGCAAGTCTCCAGGGATCACCCCTATCCCTGTCATTTCTCTATTCCTCTTTATAATGTCAAATTGATTTGAATGAAATATACCTTGCTAGTCTCCAGGTTTACCCCCACCCCCTGCCATTTGTAAACGGTAGAGATCCCCACACCTAAACCATATATATTCTTGTATGGGACAATTTAACAAATCAAATGATATGTTGGGGAGGTCCCTGGGGGTCACCCCTACCCCTCCTGTTTGAAAACTTGTAAACGGTCGAGATCCCCACCCCTAAACCATATATTTTCTTGAATAGGACAATAAAACAAATCAAATGAAATATATGGGAAGTCCCTTGGGGTCACCCCCACCCCCTCCTGTGTTAAAACTTTTTAACGGTCGGGATCCCCACCCCTTAACCATATATATTCTTGTAAGGGTCAATAAGACAAATCAAATGAAATAAAGGTGAAGTCCCTGAGGGTCACCCCACCCCCTCATGTTTGAAAACTTGTAAACGGTCGAGATCCCCACCCCTAAACCATATACATTCTTGCACTGGACAATAAAAAAAATCAAATGAAATATAGGGGAAGTCCATTGGGGTCATCCCCATCCCCCTTTTTGAAATGTTCTGGATCACCACCCCTAAAGGTAAACCATATGATATTCCTGTTCGTCATTTCAAGAAGATTTGAATGACATGCAGGGTCAAACCCTAGGCGTCACTTATGCATATCACTTTACTAGACAAAACCAATTTGTACTGGAACTTGCCCAATGTCAGGCAACCATGGGAATGACGAATTACGGGAGCTTTGTTTGGGAGACTTCGTAACAGCATCCTGTTACAATTATTTCTTGTTTATTTTAATCTGCTGAGAGACCACCTTTACATATTATATTTATCAGTATTTGTGCAAACAGAATTGTCTATTCAGTATTATTTTCCTCTCACATGCATCACATCTTATTAATTACATGGATATAGGAAGATGTGATATGAGTGCCAATGAGACAACTCTCCATCCAAGTTACAATTTATAAAAGTAAACCATTATAGGTCAAGGTACGGCCTTCAACACGGAGCATTGGCTCACACCGAACAGCAAGCTATAAAGGGCCTAAAAAAATTACAAGTGTAACACCATTCAAACGGAAAAACCAACGGTCTTATCTATATAAAAAAAAAATTTTTGGCATATTTGTTTTCCCCTGAAATTACACATCTATAATTCTTACCCCAGATGCTTAGCCACATGAAGCATTTACCTCTTATTTAAGACATAGATAGTCTTTGTTTCTACAGAAGTGAGAAGAACATTGGAAGTCAGAATGTTCTGACTTATAAAAGTCTGAATGTTCTGACTTAATAAGGTCAGAAAGACTCAGAATGATCTGAAAATACTGACTTTTTTTAATGTTTAGAGTATTTTAGACTATGAATGCACTTGTCATGCTAGTACCATAAGAAACCCTGACAAGATTTTGTTCCCAAACAACAATTTTTAAAGATATTAAGAATAACAAGTGTACAATGGAACATAAATTACAAAGTTATAAGTGTTGTGAAAAAAGCTATTTAAAAAAAAAATCAATAGATAATTATCTTTCAACTTTTACATGTATTTAAAAAACAGTGAAAATATTATGGATTATATGTACGGCTTCTTGAAGGACAACAAAGTCACCATATTTGGTCTGAATTTGTATGTTTTTTCTCCTCAAAATTTTTTTAACATTAATAATGTCGGCTTTTTTCTTAACTAATTTTAAACATTCTTAATTATAATTAAATTTCCCAAACATTTTGCTTACAAACTCTTTAATTTCTAAAGTCAAATTGAAAGTTGTCTTCACAGATTCAATGTGTCTGAAAATGTTATATTGAAAAAACAATACTTTTAAATCCTCAAATAAAATGGGCATACCATGAGTTTAATGGTCATGCAGATATGCAATCCAGGATGTTAACAATCAGAGTTTAGATTACAGTCATATAGTAATAGGCAGAGTTTTTCTTATATAATCAATAACCAGAGTAAAGATAATTGATTAATAGAGGTTTAGTTTAATATAAGTAATAAACAAAGCTAATTAATACACTTGCAATCACATACATGTAGTTAAATTAGTAAATACAGAATATTCATACAAAATTCAGACAGAAATACTGTAATAGGTCAAGTCATTAGGGACGACATCAAAAGTTCAATGTAGGATAAAAAACTTAATTCACATCACATAGTTTTTTCACTGACCCACCTACCCCCCTCTTAACTTAATTTGGGAAAGATTGATTGACCAATATGGATTTATGTAAAATCGATTTTGGATAAACAAAACTTAAACTTTAACCCCACCCCCACCCCCAAACTATTTGATTTAAGTTTTTTTATCCTACATTGGTCTTTTGATGGCATCCCTTAGAATGTGCTGACTTTGTACATGAATTGTAGTGATAGTTATGGCACCCATACAACATGTAGGAATCAGTCAAAAGGAGAGAAAAATTCCCAAAATTTGTCACATAGTGACATTTGTGAGTCGGAATAACAAAATATAGACTCATTAATCTCTCCATCTTTTCAAAAATTATGAACCAGATTTTATGCATATCCATATAGTTTTTGACGGACTCTTTTAAGTCAGAACATGATTTGACCTGTTTGAGTCAATTTGCAGAACAAAATTTCAAATCAAAGCTATGTGTTCTTCCTCTTAGCCCCCTTCTGAATCTGCCACTGTTGAGTTTATTAATTGATTTTTCCATACATTATCATTAATATCAAATGGCAATGCCTGACTTAATAATTTCAATAAATTTAGTTTTTGACTGATTTTTTAAAGTCAGAACATGACTTGACCTGTTTAAGTCAATTTGCAGAACAAAATTTCCAATCAAAGCTAGGTGTACTTTCTTTAAGCCCTGCAATGCCCAGCTTAAATATTTCAATAAAATTATTTTAGTTTTGGACTGACTCTTTTAAGTCAGAACATGATTTGACCTGTTTAAAACAAAATACATTTAATATTGAATATACCAAATAAACTTTTTTATAGTCCTCATTATTGTGACTTATGGGGACTTTATTCTCTCTGTCTTTTATCTGGCTCACCCATACATTTTTAATTCAATATGACAATACTATACTTAAAAGTTGTAATAAGTTTAGTTTTGTTTGACTCTTTGAAGTCAGAACATGATTTGACCTGTTAAAGTCAGTTTACAGAACAAAATTTCCAATCAAAGCTAGGTGTACTTCCTTTAAGCCCTGCTTCTGAATCTGCCATTTTCAAGTTTATTATTTGATTATTTTTTAGAAACAATTAAGTCAAATGGTTATTTATTTTAGGGGATCTTACATATATTTCCTGTGTCTTTTATCTGACGTTCCCATACATTCATTAAATAACATATGGCAATGCCCAGCTTATATATTTCAATAAATTTATTTTAGTTTTGGACTGACTCTTTTAAGTCAGAACATGATTTGACCTGTTTAAAACAAAATACATTTAATATTGAATATACCAAATAAACTTTTTTATAGTCATCATTATTGTGACTTATGGCGACCTTATTTCCTCTGTCTTTTATCTGGCTCACCTATATATTTTTAAATCAATATGACAATACTAGACTTAAAAGTTGTAATAAGTTAAGTTTTATTTGACTCTTTGAAGTCAGAACATGATTTGACCTGTTAAAGTCAGTTTACAGAACAAAATTTCCAATCAAAACTGGTGTACTTCCTTTAAGCCCTGCAATGCCCGGCTTAAATATTTCAATAAAATTATTTTAGTTTTGGACTGACTCTTTTAAGTCAGAACATGATTTGACCTGTTTAAAACAAAATACATTTAATATTGAATATACCAAATAAACTTTTTTATAGTCCTCATTATTGTGACTTATGGGGACTTTATTCTCTCTGTCTTTTATCTGGCTCACCCATACATTTTTAATTCAATATGACAATACTATACCTTAAAGTTGTAATAAGTTTAGTTTTGTTTGACTCTTTGAAGTCAGAACATGATTTGACCTGTTAAAGTCAGTTTACAGAACAAAATTTCCAATCAAAGCTAGGTGTACTTCCTTTAAGCCCTGCTTCTGAATCTGCCATTTTCAAGTTTATTATTTGATTATTTTTTAGAAACAATTAAGTCAAATGGTTATTTATTTTAGGGGATCTTACATATATTTCCTGTGTCTTTTATCTGACGTTCCCATACATTCATTAAATAACATATGGCAATGCCCAGCTTATATATTTCAATAAATTTATTTTAGTTTTGGACTGACTCTTTTAAGTCAGAACATGATTTGACCTGTTTAAAACAAAATACATTTAATATTGAATATACCAAATAAACTTTTTTATAGTCATCATTATTGTGACTTATGGCGACCTTATTTCCTCTGTCTTTTATCTGGCTCACCTTTATATTTTTAAATCAATATGACAATACTAGACTTAAAAGTTGTAATAAGTTAAGTTTTATTTGACTCTTTGAAGTCAGAACATGATTTGACCTGTTAAAGTCAGTTTACAGAACAAAATTTCCAATCAAAACTGGTCTTTTCCTCTAAGCCCCCCCCCCCCCCCCCCCCCTAATCTGAATCTGCTACTGTTGAGTTAATTAATTGATAAGTTTGTTTAGAAACAATTCAGTCAAATGGTTTTTAAAATAAGATTTTTTATAACCAAAATTTCCATATGTTAACTTAACAGAAAAAAAAGTCATGAAAATGCAGAAATAGAATAAAATTTTAAGATAATTTGATGAAATTTGTAAACAAAATACATTTGAATATTAAATATACCAAATAAACTTTTTATAGTCCTCATTATTGTGACTTTATTATTGGGTGTCTTTTATCTGATTTTCCCATACATTCTTAAATGCATATGACAATTCCAAACTTAAAAGTTGCAATAATTAGTTAAAGTATAGTTTTTGACTGACTCTTTAAAGTCAGAACATAATGTGACTTAATGTTCAAGTCAGTTTGCACAACAGGATTTACCTCAATGAAATATTAAGATATCAAATATATACCAAATAAACTTTTATATAGTTCTAAAAATTGTGACTTAATATTTGTGATCTTTTTTCCTACTTGTATCCATACATTCTAACAATCACATCACAATCATGACAATGCCTGACTGTTACAGTTGCAATCCATTTAGTGTTTGACTCTTTGAAGTCAGAACATAATTTGACCTGTTTAAAACAAAATACATTTAAATATTGAATATACCAAATAAACTTTTTTATATAATCCTCATTATTGTGACTTTAGGGGACCTTATTTCCTCTGTTTTTTATCTGGCTCTCCCATACATTTTTAAATCAATATGACAATACTAGACTTAAAAGTTGTAATAAGTTTAGTTTTGACTGACTCTTTGAGGTCAGAACATGATTTGACCTGTTAAAGTCAGTTTACAGAACAAAATTTCCAATCAAAGCTAGGTGTACTTCCTTTATTCCAAGAAAGTCCTTGCTTTCAGACTGCTTCTGAATCTGCCATTTTCGAGTTTATTATTTGATAATTTTTTAGAAACAATTAAGTCAAATGGTTATTTATTTTAGGGGATCTTAACATATATTTCCTGTGTCTTTTATCTGATGTTCCCATACATTCATTTAATATCATATGGCAATGCCCGGCTTAAATATTTCAATAAATTTATTTTAGTTTTGGACTGACTCTTTTAAGTCAGAACATGATTTGACCTGTTTAAAACAAAATACATTTAATATTGAATATACCAAATAAACTTTTTTATAGTCATCATTATTGTGACTTATGGGGACCTAATTTCCTCAGTCTTTTATCTGGCTTACCTATACATTTTTAAATCAATATGACAATACTAGACTTAAAAGTTGTAATACGTTTAGTAAGTCAGAACATAATGTGACTTGTTTGAGTCAGTTTGCACAACAGTATTTACCTCAATGAAATATTAAATAATAAATGTTTTGCTCTTAATACATTTAGCTTAAAGTGGATGAGAATATATCTTTTATTAACATAGTCTTATCATGAATAAGTGTCTTGTTTTTCCTTGGAAGATTTGAAGTATTGTCATGGTACTAGTAAATGTATCCAATATTGTAATTTGTAAATCTTTTGATATTCAGAAAATTGTATGATCCATTTTTTCTCACCTGGTTCTTCTTTGTATTTTGAAATAATTGAAAGTGATGAGATAAATATATTATGTTTAGATTCTGGAAAGGAGAAGGTATGATGTCAGATGAGCCCCACTTTTTAAAACTCTTTAATTCGAAACTAGTAATCACCATATTTTTATGGAGATTGATAACAAAGTGGTAGTAATGACTGCTTCAAATCAGAACAAAAATGACCTCTCGAAGTCAAAATGCATTAAAAAGGGGCATAAATCTTATTAGAATATGAAGATATTAAGTCACAATATTTTGTGCAAAAGCTGACCTGTGGAAGTCATTTTATGATAAATTAAAGTCTGACATAAACTGACCTGTACAAGTCATATTCTGTTGAGTGCAAGAAGGGAGACAACACTTACATCAAATTATATCTGACCTATGGAAGTCATTTTATTCTGACTTGTTTATGTCAGAGCTCTGACTGTTTAGTGCAGTTGAGAATGGTCAGAAACTAGATAATTTTATTCAAAATTCATAATTTTAACCTTCATTGCAAGAGGCAATTGAATACTCTCTATGCTTAATGTTTAGATAAGCATCTGTGTATTATTGATCACAGATCACCTGATTATAATGTATTTTGCAAACAACAATCTTTACAACATACAAAAAATGCCTTTATAATATAATAATTATCATAAATATATTACGACATCCTCCCATTAATTATTATTTTTATCCCCTGTAGATAGTTTCCAAAATTGAAGTCTGCAGCTTACTGTACCTTTTAAAATTTGACAATTTACATATCACTTATTCTCTTATATATATTAATGTCATTATTGTATAGTAAACTTAAGATTTTTGTTCTAACATTTCATGAAAATCTTATCACAAATTTGAAAGTTGTCATTACATTACAGCCATTAGTTAAATTGTGATTAGGTCAGTTTCTGTGGAATCACTAGTGGTAGGTCTCTGATATTTGGTATGCAGTTGTATAAACATCTGTATAAACATCGACGCATTTTAATTGTCATGGAGATTTAGACCAGCCCCATTAGTCATGCTCTATTGCCTTTGATGTTTTTGCTTAGTTTGAATGTATTTGTTTATTAATAGGTTAGTTTATGGGGAACCACTAGTGGTAGGTCAATGATATTTGGTATGCAGTATTGTTAACATTGAATCATTTCATTTCCATCGAGATTATTTGGCCCTGCTCCCTCTGTCATGGTCTTTTGACTTTAAAACGTTTGCTCAAAAGTTTCAAAGTTAAGTTTACATGTATTAGTTTGTGATTAGGTCAGTTTATGGGGAACATCTAGTAGTAGGTAATGATATTTGTTATGCATATGTATTAACATTTGCACATCTCATTTCCATAAAGATTATTTGGACCAGCCTTCTTAGTCATGGTCTATTGACCTTGAATATTTTCCATAACTTACATGTTAAAGTATTCCTATTTTAATTTCAACATTTGCATTTAACTATCAAAATAACAAAAAGACAAGACATATCTCTGTGTTAACAGTTTATTGTAACTCCTGGCATTTTAGCCAATCCATATTAACTATGAAAAGGGATCAAGGATTGGGAATTTGACTATAACACCTTAAAACCATATAACACCCTTAAAACCAATACTTCATATTTTGATGTTCGTTCTGGTTACTGATAGTAAATTTATATGGGTTCAGCTAACTAACAATTTTACATTTGAACTGTGGATTTTCAGGTGACTTAAGTATATGCTATACGCTTTACGTATGCGATAACATTTGGAAAAATGGCACATGTACTCCTATACCGGATGTTGACCTAACTTGACAATGATACAGCTTGGTTGGCTTAATTACATATTTCATTTGTATGAATAAAGATATGTGAATCTTACATTAATTTATGTAGATCATTTGCCTCAAAATCTGTCCTGTTAATAACCTAAGTTTTTGTGATCTCAGATTTGAAAGGTAGATATGTTTAAGCTAGCCATAAAACCAAGTTCAATCCACCATTTTTTTTTTAATGTCCTGTTCCATGTCAGTGATATGACAGTTGTCATCAAATAGTCTGTTTCTATGTATGTTGGTGTTTGTTTTTGTTGCAGTTCAGTGTTTCTGTTGTTCCATTGTTTTCCTCTTATAGTTGATGTGTTTCCCTCAGTTTTAGTTTGTAACCCAAATTTGTTTTCTCTTAATCAATTTATGACTTTTGAACAGCGGTATTCTACTGTGGCCTTTATTTTAGCAAAAATATTTTTCAAATTTGATAAATTGGGTTTGGGCTGTTTCCTGAGTTACTAGGGTAAAATTTTTAACTGTAGGATCCATTCACACATCGTTGTCAATATGATGGAATTTTAAGCGACTGTCATACAAGTGAGAGGTTTAGCCAGCTATAAAACCAGGTTTAATCCACCATTTTCTACATAATAAAATGCTTGTACCAAGTCAGGAATATGACAGTTGTTATCCATACGTTTAATGTGTTTGAACTTTTGATTTTGCCATTTGTTTGGGGACTTTCCATTTTGAATTTTCCTCGGAGTTCGGTATTTTTGTGATTTTACTTTTTTTGAGGTATTTATTTACTTCATAACTACAGTTTTTTTAAGTACAATTTTATATTACAGAAATTCCAGTAGTTTCCATCCCTGCAATTGAAAATGAAGTGAAGATAAAAGAGAAACCACAAGGTGACATTTCCTTTCACTTTACCTATCGTGACATATTGATTTCTTTTGAGTTTTTGGAAAATCAATAGTTAAAATAAAGTAAAAAACAATATATCTTGTGCTTTTTATAAGCATTTTGAACATTATAGCATTGTTTTATATTCCAATGCTGTATAGAGAGACCTTAATGCATTCAAAATCTGATAAAAATTCAAAATACAACCCATTACATATACCTCATATAGAAAAAAGCATACATAGCTTTCACATCTGTGTTCATCAGTAGTTTTATTTGGCATGATTGTTTAACCATCACTTTCATATAATTTGGTGAAATCTACTGAATTTAAAAATAATTGAAATGATATCGGTTAAAAGTTCAAAAACTGAATATATAAATTAATTTATTTTGTTTAGGAAGGGAGAGGTCTGTCTTTGAAACTAAAAAAAAAAAAATTTAAACTAAATTATATATTGGAGAGAAAAAAAAAATCATTGTATACATTTCATTTGCACAGGAAGATATGATAATTAACATTATAATTATTATCTCATGCTACTCATGTCACAGTTATTGTTGATTAAATGTATTTTATATTGTAAAGTTTTAATTTTAGGTTCATCTGTGAAAAAGGAACTCAGAATAAGATTAACTGATATTAATACAGTAACTGATATTGGAAAATATACAGCTTCAAAAACAGCTAAACAGTCCAAGGGCAAATGGAAAAAAGATTGAAACAGATAGAAATTGTATTAGAGTAAAAGCGCAATATTTTCCAGATGACTTTAAACAGGACCATGTGCAGAAATATAAAGCCTTATTGTAAGAATATGGTAATAGACAGTTTTGTTAAATTTTTAATCGATTAATCAGAAAAATATTTCTTTCCTCATGCCGTTAGTGTCATAAGCCTGAATGTAGAAAGTAACACAAGAACTCATTTTGATTGAGATTCAAGAAATAGTTTTTATTTTATTACTTACAAATAATTTAATGTCATAAAGAAGTTTTCTTGAATAATGAAACCAGTCAAGTAAGGATTTTGGATGTTACTTTCCTCATGCTGTTAGACTCGTTAGCCAGAATACAGAAAGTAACACAAGAACTTATTTTTATAAAGATTCAAGAAATAGTTTTGATTTTCTTACTTACAAATGATTTGATTTAGAAAGATAAGTTTTATAAGACAAATGAAAGAGGTTAAGTAAAGATTTGGGATGTTTCTTTCTTCAAGCTGTTACTGTCACTAGCCAGAATGTGGAAAGTAACACCAGAACTCATTTTGATAGAGATTCTAGAAATTGATAAGATTTTCTTACTTACAAATGATTTAATGTCAGAAAGATAAGTTTTCTTAGATAATGAAAGAGGTCAAAGTAAAGATTTTGGATGTTACTTTCCTCATGCTGTTAGCGTTATTAGCCAGAATGTAGAAAGTAACACCAGAATTCATTTTGATAGAGATTCTAGAAATAGTTATGATTTTCTTTCTTACAAATGATTTAATGTCAGAAAGATAAGTTTTCTTAGATAATGAAAGAGGTCAAGTAAAGATTTTGGATGTTACTTTCCTCATGCTGTTAGCGTTATTAGCCAGAATGTAGAAAGTAACACCAGAACTCAATTTGATTGAGATTCAATAAAATAGTTTTGATTTCTTACTTACAAATTATTTAATGTCAGAAAGATAAGTTTTCTTAGATAATAAAAGAGGTCAAGTAAAGATTTAAAATGTTATTTTCCTCATGCTGTTAGCGTCTTTAGCCAGAATGTGGAAAGCAACACCAGAACTCAATTTGATTGAGATTCAAGAAATAGTTTTGTTTTTCTTACTCACAAATGTTATAATGTCAGAAGATAAGTTTTCTTAGATAATAAAAGAGGTCAAGTAAAGATTTTAAACGTTACTTTCCTCAGGCTGTTAGCGTCTTTAGCAAGAATGTGGAAAGCAACACCAGAACTCAATTGATTGAGATTCAAGAAATAGTTATGATTTTCTTACTTACAAATGATTTAATGTCAGAAATATAAGTTTTCTTAGATAATGAAAGAGGTCAAGTGAAGATTTTGGATGTTACTTTCCTCATGCTGTTAGCGTTACTAGCCAGAATGTAGAAAGTAGCACTGAATATAAGTTTCATATAAAACGTTATGATTTTTTAACATCATAACACATGATTGATTGTTAGAAAGCTTAATATTCTAAGCAATGCTAGAAATTGAGTGATTTTTTCAAGCAAAATTTGAGTTATTAATTTTTTTATGCTATAAGGACATAAGCCAAAATTTGGAAAATAATAGTAGAACGTAGAAGTAATAGTATAAAACCTAATATAGATTTATCAAATTGTAATCATAATTTTAATCTAGTTGTTTTCATTAAATATTTACAACAGTTTGATTCAGATATCAAAAGATGCAGAAACAGCAAAATGTTTTTTTTTACCCCATTTATTACATTGTTTCAGCTTGATAAAGATTATGTAAAAATTGTCTTGCCATGAAAAAATTGTAAACAAATTTTAAAGATATATATATGTTGTGGTTATTACTTTTGTACAAGGATATAATAAGTAATATTTATTTATTTGATAATTTTGATGACAATACAAAAGATATTTTTAACTTCAGATGATTTCAAGCATTTCATATTTTAAGTCAAAGGATATTATAAGTACTTTTTATTCATTTGATTGTCTTGATGTCAGTACAAAAGACATTTTAAGTTTAGATGATTTCAAGCATTTTATTTTTGAAGTCAAGACTCTACATGATGGTTACCTGGTCAATACTTTACCAACATGTACTTGTGAAAAGTGTACTTCTTTCCGATCTAATAGATCAACTCAGTTTTATGAAGGCACTTATCCTACACCTTGTTATGGACCTATTTCAAATAGTCCTTTTAAGAATATGTGAGGTCCTAAGGCCCACCAATTTGGTGGTGGTAGACCAGGTTAATTATCCCAAAAAAAGTTTAAGATGATACTTTCCTAATGCTGTTAGCATCATAGGCCAGAATGTGGAAAATAACACTTATTTTGATTGAGATTCAAGAAATACTTTTTTAGTTATTTTACATCAAAACATGATTGATTGTTAGAAAGCTAAGTCTTCTAAGCAATGTTAGAAATAAAGTGATTTTTAACAAGCAAAATTTGAGATGTTACCTTCTTCATGCTGTAATAAATGCAAAGAGCTAGAATTTGGAAAATAAAAGAGAAACTTTTTCTATTACATGGTAGTTGTAAATAGTATAGAACCTAATATAGATATATCAAATTGAAATCGTTATTTGATAATTTTGATGTCAATACAAAAGATTTTTAACTTCTGGATGATTTTAAGCATTTTATATTTGTCAAACGATAAGTTATATTTATCTGTTTGATAATATTGATGTCAGTACAAAAGACATTTCAACTTTAGACCATTTCAAGCATTTTATTTTGAAGTCAAGACTCTACATGATGGTTACCTGGTCAATACTTTACCAACATGTACTTGTGAAAGGTGTACTGCTTTCTGATCTAATAGATCAACTCAGTTTTATGAAGACACTTATCCTACACCTTGCTATGGACCTAATTCAAATAGTCCTTTTAAAAATACACGAGGTGCTTAGGACCACCAATTTGGTGTTAGTATAAAAGAATTAAGATGTTATTTTCCCCATGCTGTTAGCGTCATATGCCAGAATGTGGAAAGTAATTCTAACATTCATTTTGATTGAGATTCAAGAAGTACTTTTTTTAGTTTTTATACGACCGCAAAATTTTTTTTGGGTTCGTATAATGGTATGATGTCATCGTCTGCGACGTCTGCGTCATCCGAAGACACATTTGGTTTCCGGATAATAACTTTAGTTTTAGTGAATGGATCTCTATGAAATTTAACAAGAAGGTTCAATACCACAAAAGGAAGTTTGGGATTGATTTTGGGGGTTTTGGTACCAACAGTTTAGGAATTAGGGGCCAAAAACAAGCATTTTTGTAGTTTCCAGACAATAACTTGTGTGTAAGTGTATGGATCTCACTGACATTGTACCACAAGGTTCCATATCACAAAGGGAAGGCTGGGATTAAGTTTGGGGGTAATTGCCCCAAACATGCAAGAATAAGGGGCCAAAAACAAGCATTTTTCTTGTTTCCAGACAATGTGTTTAAGTGTATGGATCTCTCTTAAATTGTACTACAAGGTTCAATACTGCAAAGGGAAGGCTGGGATAGAGTTTGGGGGTAATTGCTTCAAAGGGGGGGGTTCAAGATTGGGGGGATTTTTTTTCTTCAAAATTTTTCCAATTTCAAATTTTTGAAAAGTTTCAAGAAGAAATCTTCAATTGCACAGTATTACGCAATAGATTTTTAAGATCTATGACCACATTTAATTTGTGTTAGAAACCTTTATTTTGTCAAAAATTTGATCACAATCCAAATTCAGACAGTTTCAAGCTTAAATATTGTGTCCAAATTTGCCCAAACTGTTCAGGGTTTTACCTCTGCGGCTGTATCAGGCTGCGCTCAGCGAAGCATTTTATTTTTACATATATAAGATTTAATGTTGTAGAAAAAAGTGTATTGAGTAAATTCAAAATAAGTGATTTTTTTTTACAAGGAAAAATTGTAGATATAACTGTCTTCATGCTACAAGGGTTTTAATCTAGAATGAAGAAAATAACAATGAAACTCATTCTTCTCAATATCCAAGAAGTAGTTTTTATTTTTTTCCATATATATATGAATGATTTCCAAAACCTACCCTTAGGATTAAGTGTTAATTTATTCTAACATGTCTAATTCTGAATAGGTATGAAATATTTACAATGCACATTAGGTAACAACATCCATATCTAGAATGTCATCTCCAGGTAAACATAATAGTGTTCAACAATGGACAATTATCTCTCCTATGTCAAGATCTTATATACATGCTTTGTAGAAATGAAAATTTGTTTAATTAGCAACATGTTTACGCTAAAAATCTTTTAAGAGGAGCAAAAACCAATTATAGACTGAGTCTGGCATAAACAGTGTTTAAAATCCATGAGGCAGTATAATACACTCCTCATTCCTTTTTGGGGCGGGTCAAATTGTCATCTTAAGAGGAAGCTATTCATATCAATAGTGGGAATACAAAAAGGAAAGAGGATTGTCTTAACTAAACATGGATAAAATTGTTTTAAACTTTTAACTTTGGTCAGGATGGTGGATCAAATATGGCCACCATCGAGCCCCAGGCCAAAGTAGAGTTAGTATTAAAAAGAAGCGAGTATTTGTTAGATATTGTAATTAGATATATTCAATTACATGGTAGTAGTAATAGTATAAAACTTAATATAGATATATCAAATTGTAATCGTAATTTTGCTCTAGGTTCTTTCATGAAATATTTACAACAGTCTGATTCAGATATTAAAAGATGCCGGGACAGCAAAATGTTTTTTTTGACCCCGTTAATTACATTGTTTAAACTTGATAAAGATTTACAGCAAAATGGTTTTTTTGACCCCGTTAATTACATTGTTTAAACTTGATAAAGATTTTGTGAAAGTTCTTTTGCCAAAAAAAATTTGTAAAAAAAATTCTAAAGATATTTATTCATTGCGGTTATTACCTTTGTACAAGGATATTATAAGTAGTTTTTATTTATTTGATAATTTTGATGTAAGTACAAAAGACATTTCAACTTTAGACCATTTCAAGCATTTTATTTTTGAAGTCAAGACTCTACATGATGGTTACCTGGTCAATACTTTACCAACATGTACTTGTGAAAAGTGTACTTCTTTCCGATCTAATAGATCAACTCAGTTTTATGAAGGCACTTATCCTACACCTTGTTATGGACCTATTTCAAATAGTCCTTTTAAGAATATGTGAGGTCCTAAGGCCCACCAATTTGGTGGTGGTAGACCAGGTTAATTATCCCAAAAAAAGTTTAAGATAATACTTTCCTAATGCTGTTAGCATCATAGGCCAGAATGTGGAAAATAACACTTATTTTGATTGAGATTCAAGAAATACTTTTTTAGTTATTTTACATCAAAACATGATTGATTGTTAGAAAGCTAAGTCTTCTAAGCAATGTTAGAAATAAAGTGATTTTTAACAAGCAAAATTTGAGATGTTACCTTCTTCATGCTGTAATAAATGCAAAGAGCTAGAATTTGGAAAATAAAAGAGAAACTTTTTCTATTACATGGTAGTTGTAAATAGTATAGAACCTAATATAGATATATCAATTTGAAATCGTTATTTGATAATTTTGATGTCAATACAAAAGATTTTTAACTTCTGGATGATTTTAAGCATATTATATTTGAAGTCAAACGATAAGTTATATTTATCTGTTTGATAATATTGATGTCAGTACAAAAGACATTTCAACTTTAGACCATTTCAAGCATTTTATTTTGAAGTCAAGACTCTACATGATGGTTACCTGGTCAATACTTTACCAACATGTACTTGTGAAAGGTGTACTGCTTTCTGATCTAATAGATCAACTCAGTTTTATGAAGACACTTATCCTACACCTTGCTATGGACCTATTTCAAATAGTCTTTTTAAAAATACACGAGGTGCTTAGGACCACCAATTTGGTGTTAGTATAAAAGAATTAAGATGTTACTTTCCCCATGCTGTTAGCATCATATGCCAGAATGTGGAAAGTAATTCTAACATTCATTTTGATTGAGATTCAAGAAGTACTTTTTTTAATTTTTTTACGACCGCAAACTTTTTTGGGGTTCGTATAATGGTATGATGTTGTCGTCTGCGTCATCCGAAGACACATTTGGTTTCCGGATAATAACTTTAGTTTTAGTGAATGGATCTCTATGAAATTTAACAAGAAGGTTCAATACCACAAAAGGAAGTTTGGGATTGATTTTGGGGGTTTTGGTACCAACAGTTTAGGAATTAGGGGCCAAAAACAAGCATTTTTGTAGTTTCCAGACAATAACTTGTGTGTAAGTGTATGGATCTCACTGACATTGTACCACAAGGTTCCATATCACAAAGGGAAGGCTGGGATTAAGTTTGGGGGTAATTGCCCCAAACATGCAAGAATAAGGGGCCAAAAACAAGCATTTTTCTTGTTTCCAGACAATGTGTTTAAGTGTATGGATCTCTCTTAAATTGTACTACAAGGTTCAATACTGCAAAGGGAAGGCTGGGATAGAGTTTGGGGGTAATTGCTTCAAAGGGGGGGGGGTTCAAGATTGGGGGGATTTTTTTTCTTCAAAATTTTTCCAATTTCAAATTTTTGAAAAGTTTCAAGAAGAAATCTTCAATTGCACAGTATTACGCAATAGATTTTTAAGATCTATGACCACATTTAATTTGTGTTAGAAACCTTTATTTTGTCAAAAATTTGATCACAATCCAAATTCAGACAGTTTCAAGCTTAAATATTGTGTCCAAATTTGCCCAAACTGTTCAGGGTTTTACCTCTGCGGCTGTATCAGGCTGCGCTCAGCGAAGCATTTTATTTTTACATATATAAGATTTAATGTTGTAGGAAAAAGTGTATTGAGTAAATTCAAAATAAGTGATTTTTTTTTACAAGGAAAAATTGTAGATATAACTGTCTTCATGCTACAAGGGTTTTAATCTAGAATGAAGAAAATAACAATGAAACTCATTCTTCTCAATATCCAAGACGTAGTTTTTATTTTTTTCCATATATATATGAATGATTTCCAAAACCTACCCTTAGGATTAAGTGTTAATTTATTCTAACATGTCTAATTCTGAATAGGTATGAAATATTTACAATGCACATTAGGTAAAAACATCCATATTTAAGTGTTTTGTCTAGAGAAATTATGATTTAAAAAACATTTTATAAATATCTAGAATGTCATCTCCAGGTAAACATAATAGTGTTCAACAATGGACAATTATCTATACTATGTCAAGATCTTATATACATGCTTTGTAGAAATGAAAATTTATTTAATCAGCAACATGTTTACGCTAAAAATCTTTTAAGAGGAGCAAAAACCAATTATAGACTGAGTCTGGCATAAACAGTGTTTAAAATCCATGAGGCAGTATAATACACTCCTCATTCCTTTTTGGGGCGGGTCAAATTGTCATCTTAAGAGGAAGCTATTCATATCAATAGTGGGAATACAAAAAGGAAAGAGGATTGTCTTAACTAAATCATGGATAAAATTGTTTTAAACTTTAACTTTGGTCAGGATGGTGGATCAAATATGGCCACCATCGAGCCCCAGGCCAAAGTAGAGTTAGTATTAAAAAGAAGCGAGTATTTGTTAGATATTGTAAATAGATATATTCAATTACATGGTAGTAGTAATAGTATAGAACTTAATATAGATATATCAAATTGTAATCGTAATTTTACTCTAGGTTTTTTCATGAAATATTTACAACAGTCTGATTCAGATGTTAAAAGAATCCGGGACAGCAAAATGGTTGTTTTGACCCCGTTAATTACATTGTTTAAACTTGATAAAGATTTTGTGAAACTTCTTTTGCCAAAAAAAATTTGTAAAAAAAATTCTAAAGATATATATTCATTGTGGTTATTACCTTTGTACAAGGATATTATAAGTAGTTTTTATTTATTTGATAATTTTGATGTCAGTACAAAAGACATTTCAACTTTAGACCATTTCAAGCATTTTATTTTTGAAGTCAAGACTCTACATGATGATTACCTGGTCAATACTTTACCAACATGTACTTGTGAAAAGTGTACTTCTTTCTGATCTAATAGATCAACTCAGTTTTATGAAGGCACTTATCCCACACCTTGTTATGGACCTATTTCAAATAGTCCTTTTAAGAATATGCGAGGTGCTAAGGCCCACCAATTTGGTGGTGGTAGACCAGGATAATTTACTCTATATGTTATGTTTATATTGACTATGAGTTCTGTTTTATTTTTCTTCTTATCATGTTTATTAATACATTGTATTGCTATGAGTTTTTTTATGTAAACATTATTTTGTTACACTTTCGGCACAACCTGAAATAGTTCTTTTAGGATATGTCCATTGGTATGTCACACTTTAATGTTGGTGGTAAATTTGGATAATTATCTG